CTGCTGGTGGCCCCTGATAAGGTTGTAGGCAGCCACAAGATTCCCCCCTCAGTCTCCTCTTGCGGAGACTGAAGAGATTCAGGTCCCTCAGCCTCTCCTCATAGGGCTGGCCACGGAGGCCCTCAACCATACAAGTGGCCTCCTCGGGACCTTCTCCAGGTTTTCGACGTCCTTCTTGAAGTGCGGCACCCAGAACCGGACACAGTACTCCAGCTGCGGCCTGGCCCTTGTTCCTGCCTCTTACCCCTGGAAGGGGGGTATATGTGCATGTATATGTGCATGCATATGTGCATGCAGTCATATATTCAGGAGCTGTATCTGAATTCAAGATTTATCCAGAGACATACTTTGAATATTCTAGTCTCAGTTCCTAATAATTTATGCCTGAAAGTTATAGGGTTGTTAACATAGCTATTCTGTTCACAGCTGCATGGTTGTATATTTCATGGGCTTGTATCAGATCAAGCTGACAGGTTAGAGTTTTTTTAAGTTACCTAGAGAGGCTACTGAAATGCTTGATGTTGATTCTTTCTTTCTCTCTCTCTTTCACTGTAAGATCAGACTTAAAAATATTACATTAGAGGGAATGCTAGAAAGAAGAGAGAAGTATGAACAGCTAATTAGAGTGCACTCCTTTCTGTTAAAAACAAAGAGGTTTCAATGATTCACGTTGCACAGAAGCATTCTGACACATGCTATAACAGAAGAGCCACAGATGGGGAAACCAAGAATGCCTTTAGGTATGGCAAAAGTATCAACATAAACCCAAGCTAAAGTCAAAAGGTAATCTTTCTTTAAAAATTATGCTTACAGCTTACATGTTCCCAATAGGGCTATGTGACATTTCACTTGGTGTTTTGTTTTGAACCTGTTTCGAGCTCAAAACAGTGAAATAAAAACAAAACAAAAGCCTTCAAAATAGCTGCAAAATGAAAAATGGGCACTCAAAATGTTTTGAAACATTTCAGAGCCAGGCTTACTTGGCTCCAGTGCCAGTCCCAGCCAGCAGCAGCAGCCTCCTGTCATTTGGCAGGCAGTTCAGGGGCCCACCTGCATCCCCGGGAGGGCTAAGGGGCTGTGCCAGACTCCTCCTGGGGGTGCGGGCTCCCAATCTGCCTGCTGCATGATAGGAAACTGATGCTACCGGCTGGGGCCAGTGGCAGCACCGATCTTCCCAGCACGAGATCAGGGACACCCTGCAGCCCTCCAAGAAGTGTGGGGGGGCCCCCTGATCGGCCTGCCAGATCACAGGAGGCTGTTCCTGCCACCTGGGACAGTGCTGGGCACAGCCTGCACCCAGCGCCGGGAAGATTGGTGCTGCCACTGGCCCTAGCCAGCAGCATCAGCTTCCTGTTATCCGGCAGGCAGACTGGGGGGCCTGCCCACACCCCCAGGAGGGCTGCAGGGGCTGTGCTGGACTGCGTCTGGGTGTGCAGGCCCCCATTCTGCCTGCTGGATGACAAGAGGCTGGTTTTGCCACCTGGGGCCAGCGGCGGGGCCAGGGGCAAATCGGCTTGTGTGGGGACCTGCCCCCAACCTGGGATCAGGGTGGGGATGGTTCTCTGCATGAGCTGATTTGCCTTGGGCCGTGCACCCTCCTCGGGTTGGCTCTGGTGTGGGACCTGGGGTCAGCTCTGTAATCCTGGGGTTGGCTCTGGTGCAATCCTGGGGCAGAGGTGGGTCCCCGCACCAGCTGATTTGCCCCAGGCCTCGCCGCTGGCCCCAGGCAGCAGAACCAGCCTCCTGTCATCTGGTAGGCAGATCGGGGTCCACACCCCCGGGAGCAGTCTGGCACAGCTCCTGCCTTCCCGGAGGTGTGGGTGAGCCCCCAGTCTGCCTGCCAGATGACAGGAGGCTGGTGATGCCGGCTGGGACCGGTGCTGGGCACAGCCCGTGCCAGTAAGATAGGTACTGCCACTGGCCCCAGCTGGCAGCATCAGCCTCCTGTCATTTGGCAGGCAGATCGGGGGCTCACCTGCACCCCTGGGAGGGCTGCAAGGCTTTGCTGGACTCCTCCCAGGGGTGCGGTTCCCTGATCTGCCTGCTGGATGACAGGAGGCTGCTGCTGCCATCTGGGGCCAGCGGCAGCACCAATCTTCCTGTCACTGGGTGCAGAATAGCTTATGGGCAAAATGTCAAAAGTTTCAACAAAAGAAAATGGAACAGTGCTTTTGACATGAAACAAAACTCTAAACGAAACACTGTTCCGTCGAAATGGAAGTCAAAGTGGAACGGTGCTGTTACGCACAGCTCTAGTTCCCAATACTTTTAGAACGCATGCACACAAGGTGGGGTTGCATATACAAACGTGGTAGCTAAGTACATTTGTGAAAAAATGCCACTGCCTCCATACCTGTCCTTGAATAGATACAAATACTTCTGTTCACAAGATGTAGTGTTTGGAACCATTCTCACAGAATACAGTATTGCAGTCCCAACCCAAACTGCCTAAATGGAAACTGAACACTTGGAAACATCTGGCCCCAGTTGTGACTGCTGACCTAGTTTGAACATCTACCAGTAGTTCCTCATCTGTGGTACAGGTACCAGTGGTATGCATTAACAGATTTATTATAATTACTTTTATATGACAAAAATTTGCTGGTGGTACTTAAGGTTGTATCATTTTAAATTGGTGGTGCGTGATCTGTAGAAGTTTGGGAGCTGCTAGCCCACTTCTTGCTGTCAGTCTATCACGGTATGCTAACAAACAGTTTTCAGGCACGTAGTCTCTATATTTTATCAGAGCATGAACTTCTGATGTTACCGTGTTTTTAATATGCAGCTTGTCTTGGGCACTGACAGATGTGCAGCTCTCTGCTGTAGCTTATGGAGCTTCACGGGAAATGTCACGAGTTGCATCAATTCCCTGCCCCCCAACAGACACTTGCTGTTGGGTCTGGGGGATTGAGCTCCACTTTGGAGTAGCTGTATGTCTGCAGCCTGTCTCCTTTGGCCCTGCTCCCAGCTCTGGTGCTGTTTTCAGGATGGGAGGGGAGAGGAGGGAGCTTGGCCCAGGGTTTTTCCCAGCCTGCACTGGAAGGTGGGGTAGGTGGATTGGACCCCCCTCAGGTAATGACAGTTCAGATTCTTGTGCTCCTGGGCACTTTTAAAGCACTCTAGAGCTGTGAACTTCTGTCAGGGCATGGCTGTAGAGCACTTCAGGGGTCCAATCACATGCCAAAGTGTCACTTCTGTCAGCACCCTTAATGTAACAACCATCCACCACCTTCCTTTAAAAAGCAAAATCCTGAAAATAGTGCCCTGGTGTCAATAAATACCTGCTTGATTTAAGTGCAGATGTGCCAGTAAATAAATGCTCATTTAGATCTACCAGTTTATCTCTGTGAATATAGGTAATTGAAAAGAAAGTGTCATAAGAGAAAGAAAATGTAGTAAGACCTGTGCAGTTTTCCAGTGAGGTTTTAACAGTTTGGGTTCACTTCCTTTCTCTCACAAAACAACTTTATTGGCAACGTTTTGCAATTTTACTTACCTAATAATTACCATACATGAGAAAGGAAAGGAGCCAAGAAAGCTGCAGGATGATTTATTCCATAATCTCTGAAAACACTGCAATTGGGGGAGGAAAAAAAAAGACATACTTTTTTTTGAGTCTGCTTGATTCTTTCTTTGTTGCTAGCCAGGTACAGTCATTTTAGGAAACCTTTGAGTCTCCTCATTCATGTCATGCCCCCCACCCCTGAACTGTTGAACTGGTGACTCATACTGCTGTCTTATTGAGAGAGGGTTTCTCTATTGTCTCAGAAAATGTTGGCAGCCATAAAGATGTTTTATGGTAGTTTCTACTTGAAAAAGTATTCAGAGCTTGAGAGATTCCCTCAAGCGACAGTGGAGCACCTCCAGCTTCCAAATGATCAAAAGACAGTCTTTAAACAAAAAGGTTGCTGCTGCTGCTACTAGAAGAAGGAGGCTCCTTTGTGAAATGCCAATACTGCAGATATACCAGCTCAAATTGTGATAAGGACATTGAGATTTAGCCCTGAAAAACCCCAAGGAAAGCCTAGGCGCCTCAGTAAGTGGCACAGGAAACCGAGTAGGTAGTTATCTGAGTAGGTCAATCTTCCACAGCAGCTCTCAAGGTGTTTGGGAGCACTGTACAATACCAGAGGTACTATGATGTAAAAAGCAAGGCTGTGGCAATTGCTAATCGTTAAAATTGCATTGTAGGAATAGGAGTGTTAACTCTGGTACCCTAGGAAATGACGTTGTTGTA